TTGTTTTTGTTTTTGTTTTTGTTTTTTTGTTTCCCTGTTCCCTCCCCCCCCCTTTTAATGCCTACGTGGAATCCTATACGCTTGAGAGGCAGCAGCAGGACGCTGGGAGGCTGCTGAATAGAAATTCATGGACACGGCGCCAGCCCAGAGAGCGAAACAATCACCGCGCGCTCTCATTGGCCACAGCCTGCTCGCTGACGTCAGCGATGACAGGTCCGGCTTCAGACTGAAAAGCTTTATCAGAGTGCATGTGTGTGGAGGGGGTAGGGGGTGGACGGAGCTACGCAGGCGCTAACCGGGGGCGCCCCTTCTCCGCTAAAAGCCTCCCTCCCCCCCCCCCGTGCCTCGCTAGCGAGCAATGCCCGGCGCTGGCTCCCCGCATTTTGGTTTCTAGCTGCTTTTCACAGAGAGGGCAGGGCAGGGCGGGCCGCCGCGGCAACCTCCTGGTCCTGGCCCAGCCCCGGCTCCTCGCTGGCGCTTAGTGGCAATGAGCGGCGGTAGCCGAAGGAGGAGCCAGTCCAAGGGAAAGCAGCTCCAGCCGCGCTGCCGATCGTGCTCGAGGTGCCCGCTCGCTGGTTCCTCCTCCCCGCGCTCTGCCCTTCGCCCCGGGGAGGCCGATCGGCAGCCGGAAGCCTCGGCACTTCGAAACCCGTCTGCTTCCTTGGCTAGCTCCGCCGCTCGCCCGGACCTAGCCTCCCCCCGCCGCCAAGCAGCTTCCCCCGCGCCCGCTCTCTCCCCCGAGTCCCTCCAGAGCCACCAGCCGGCACGTAGCGGCAAAGTTGGCCGCTCGCGCGCCCGTTGCTTTGTTAAGTCGCAGGGTGACTTAAAGTGCAGCTCACAACTCTTCGCAGCAACAAAGATGGGCTGGGGCTTCCCGTAAGTTCCGTGATCCAGCCACACAAAACGCCCGGGGAAACGGGGCGGGGGGAGGCAGGAGGGGAGACAGGTCCTGAGCCTGCACCGTCTACCCTCCCTCCCTCCCCCACGCCAGGTCACTATCTCAAGTTTTGAATAAAGAGCGCGGTTGCACTTTTGTCTCGGTTTGTGAAATCCTACTGAAGTATCCATCTCCTGCCTGAAGGTCATTCCCGAAGGAAGAAGGGAAGCATGGGGCTCCTTCAGTCTCCCTTGGGTAGCGTCCTTTGTGGGAGCAAGTTTTTATTGATGAAACTTAATGCTCAGATTCAGCTCTGATGCTTCGTTAGGATTCCCCCCCACCCCCCATCATTTTGACTCCTGTTTATTTATAGCACACACAAATCTTTCCCATGTACGAGCATTTCAAGGGCCTTTTCTCAAACTGAAAGGAGGACAATGCGAGGGGACGAGCTCTGCATACAGAACACATCATGGGAAGCAGAGCTGGGCAACTCTTTACATTTCTGACACTTGTTGACAGCACAGATAACTGGTCTTTCTACTTGAGAAATAGTAGTTAAGCGACACTAGAGTCTTACTTCCTAAGATTACACAATTTGGCTAGTTCTGGGAGTATTATATCTTTATACCAAATCTTAGAAAGGATTCTTGGAGGAATCCCACGCCACATATTTAAATGTCAACAGTTATTTTGTTAATGGCTGCTGGAGTAATATGATAAATCATTACATTAAGAATGAAACCGAGTATTTAACCCAGAAAAGGGAATAATACTCCTCCTCTCTCTCTCTCTCTCTCTCTCTCTCTCTTTCCACTTACAGAATTGTACAATCTAACCACCATCTTTCGATTTTAAGAAAAGTCCTTAAATACATATAAAGTACTCGCTCCTATTTTTATACTCCGTAGAAGAAAGAAAATATATTGGCTGTAGGATTTACATTGTTAATGATGAAAGTATAGTCTAGGGTTTCTGGCTTTATGCACTGAGGCCTTATAGGTTTAGTAAAGCTTAGAGCTTCAGCACAGGAGAAAGCCTCTACTTATTTTTTTTTAAGAAGAGTATTGTGAGTTAAAAAAAAAATCCTGGAGAAAGACAGTGGAAACAGTGCGTCAGTTTTGGGAAAGAAAAAGATAACAATAAATATCTTTTTATACGGTCATCACAAAATTCAATAGTCATAAATAGTATTCGCTCAATAACAGAAATACTTTTTTAAAATAAAACAACAAATGAATATATATTTTCACATTGTTACAATTTTTATTTATTGACTTCCTATTAACTTGTCTATGGACACTTTATAATATTCACTCTACATCTGGAGTTAGAAACCCCCAATGAAATTTAATAAGTTAAGAAGCATAATTTTGCATTTCCATAAAAGTTTAACAATTGCTAACTACATCTGTAAACGATCATCTTTATGTTAAGTAGTAAACCAAGATAACGGTTGGCATGTTAATACCTAAACCGCGCTATTCTCATAACACAGGCAACTCGCCAATGACTTGCAATCATAAGTTTAAAGTGTAGGACGTACGTAATTATATATGGGACATTTTTATTACTGCTTTGCATAGCGAGCGTTGGCTACGGTTACATATTTTTGGAATGAGCCCGGATTTGACTCTGTTTTATGTAACACAAAGCTAATATTTAGCTAGATCGTTGTGTTTACATTATTGTGTACATATTTTTGACTTGAGATGATGAAAAATGACACATGATACAATTAGTTATCCATCCTTACATAACATGTTTACTCAGGCATTTTAAATCACACACCAGCAGTTAGCGCCACAACATCTTAACTTTCAAGTCTATTTGCACTAAGTAATGCATTTGACATTCCTATTCCTGCCCATCTCAATAGGAGTGCACAGAAGAGATAAACGTTAGGAATTATTAATCTGCTACTTACAAATATACTGAGAGTGTGACTTCCAAATATAGCTGTTTCCTCATACCTCCTTAAAACACTTCATCTCTACATACTTGTTATCCATCAATTCTGACACTTCTCAGTCAAGGGAGAAAACATCTGGAACAGTTTATCAATTAAAAATGTTATCACCAGTTTGCCTAGGCTATTTTAAAATATTGTGATGGTTTCCTGTCAAACACTATTGGCTCTGTTCGGCCCTTACTTAAATCCTGAAGTCTTTTTTCTTCTTCTTCATGGATCGAATGAAAAAAGTGTCACTCGGTGTCTCTCTCATTATATTAGGTGAAGTTAGTATTTTCACTCCTATAATTTGTTGTGTACGTTGGGAGTTCTACTAGTGTGTGTGTGGAGGAGGAAGGGGGGGGGCGATGGGAGCCGCGCACATGACTAAGGGAAGGCGGAGAGATTAGGAAAGAGGAGGAGGACCTGGCCAAAATCGGCAAAGTTACACATCTCTTGCAGAATGTTTTGAAAACGTGAGTGCTTATTAATGCAGGCCTTTGGCAGCTTGACCTCGTCTGACCACCACTCACTCAACTGATTACTTAGATCTCGTTAATCCCGTCTGCAATATGAGCCATGTTTTACCAGATAATCCATACTGTATGGGCTATGCCTTAAATATATGAAGCCTCCTATATCCCCTTGCCACATTAGGTTTGCAGGGCTACTCTACCAATTTAGATTTTGAAACCAACATGGCAATTGCAGGGGAATTCCTCTTCTCTACAAATACTGAAGTTCATGGACTTGGTAACTCTAAACCCTTTACAAGGAGTCTGCAAGGATAACAATAATTGCACAATACTTTTTTATATCCTGAAACGGAGATATCACAAGAAGGCGTGGGGAACCCAAACATCAGGCAGTGTTATTGGAGGGTTGTTGTTGTTACAGGGGACTGGCATGTGAAGAACTCCATTGTTCTTCTTGTCCCATCACCCGAGGGCCAATGCCACAAAGGGTTTCCAAGAGATAACATTTGGAGCTTTAGAAGTGGCAACACCAGGAATCAGCACTTGTAGACTGATTAATCAGTTTCCCCATCTATTTCCTATACATCTAAGCGGTTACTGTGTATTAGCCCCTGGTGAATACTTCCTAGTTGTGTTAGAATGCTCTGTAAAGGGTACATGTTGAAATAAGGTGTTCACGGATTCTTTCCCTAATAAAATCAGAGAATCAACATTTGATTGCATTACAGTAATTAAATGAATAAACTGTGAAACCAGGCCAGCAGGTCAGGGGAAACCAAAAGCTGGGGTGCTGGAACAATTTTTATAGTGGGGGTGGTGCTGAGAGCCATTGAACGAATGGGTAAACCCTGTATATAATGGAAACCATTTCAAGCCAGGGCACGTTCCGGCAGCACCCCCCAGCACCCCTAGTTCCAGCACATATGCCAAAAGCTTCCCCTACCACAGAGTAGACAGTAGGAGTGATACATGATTAACACAAATAAGAGCCTGAATAAATAAACTGGAGCACAGTTTGGGGAAAAGACATCTATACTACATATCGAGTATAGTATATTGGGAATCAGCTGCAAAAGTTGAACAAAACACTATTTTTTTCTTCTATAGTTGTACAAATATAAAAATAATTTCACACACATAAAAAGTGAATGTGTGTAGTATTTTGTGTGTTTCTCCCATCTGTGCCTGTCCCTCGCCACCTTTAGCAAAATCAGATATGGTGACGATTTGAAAGCCTAATTATCCCCAGAACTTTAGTTTACTGAATTTGTCTCTCAGGGTTTAGTTTAGCTTCCATTTTTCGTGCAATCAAGAGAATGAACAAAAACCCCTCATCCCCTCCTACACACTAAATTGCTACAATCTAACTGCTGTAGCTATATAGGAGCCAAAATGTACTGTACAGTAGTTTGACTAAAAACAGGAATCGATGCAACAATATACATTATTTGTGGTCAGATCTTCTTAATAGTAATAGATTTACAGCTCCACTCTATTTTAGTTTTATTTCAGTATAAATATATACTCATATTTTCTAGTAAATCTAGCGTTATTCATGATCAATGCCAAACACTCTTCTTGATGTGCATGTCAGCTTTGCCACATAACAAGAGTGGACATTTGTAATATACTCTCTACCTTGGGGCCAAATTCTGCTCTCACATACACTAGTGCCAACCGCGTTGGCTTTCTACTGTCCTCTTCAATGGCGTTTGTATGGCCGTATCTGAGCAGATTCTGTCCTTTAGTTTTTTGTTAGGTCACCAAAATTTCTCTAGACAATCCACTGTTGAGGTACCTGAAACTTTTCAGTTAGTTCTATGGAATATATCTTACTGTCTGTTAAATAGCAACCTTTCTGAAATGAGTACTATTAGCTAAAACTTCTATTTATCGTCATTAATTTTTTAACTTGCGATTTTAAACCTCAGGCTTTATCTGTGAAAAATAAGGATTAATCGCGATTTAAAAATCCCAATTGTAATATTTACTATGGAAATGGAAAGGTCAAGAACAACTAGCAGAATTTACCGAAGAGTTATGTTAACCTATTCCTTGATTATTAATATCGGATTTGGGGCTACAAATTTCATAAGTATACTGAGTCTTAAGACGGAGATGAAATAATCATTAAAACTAAGAGCTGATGCAAGGGATACACATAACTGCAGCAAAATAATATTTGGATACACTGTCAAAATGCATATCAAGAGGTATTGTTTAGAGAGAAGTTGCTAAGGGAAATTTTCAAAGGGGAAAGAGAACATTTCATGGAATTCGAATATATTTCTCTTTTGTTACTAGTTCATTTTTCTTTTCTTTTAGTCAGATCAATTTGCTTCAGGATGTTCTAGAGTGTATGGAAAATCCAGAAGCCAAAGGGGTAAGTGAAGGCACTTTGGTTGTATGTGTGTGTGTTCCCCACATTTTAGAAACTAGAGGTACCCAAGATAAACCAAATCATATGCTTAGTTTAAATAGAATATATCATTCAATACCTCAAGATTAAGGTATTCCTGTCAGATAAGATGTCAGTCACTAACTCCTTAAAGCTTGGTAGCCACCACATTGTGAAAGCCTGCTATCCCTGGTAAAGATGATACATATCATGTAAACCCCATCAACAAGATCAAAGTCTTCTGCTTTAATAGGATCCAATACATGTCAAACCTCATTCCAATCAAATCGTCCGTAAATGAATTCAAGATGAATATGTCATAGAATAATGTGACAGTGCAATCACATAGGGTCAGGGGTTGTTGTTTCAATGAGAGAGTCGTCAAATATTAATTCTAGAACCTCCAAATGAATAGGCATTGAGCAGGATTAGGCAGCTGCTGGTGGGGCGTTGTGTCACTGATTTGTGTTTATGCTAGTACGTTAAACACTAAGCTGAAAAAAATATTGTCTCCCTTGAACTGAAAAAAGGCATATTTTAACTTACTTGACTTTTCCAGGATGTTTCTGTAAAGTCGTTTTCTTTTCCTCATTACCAGAGAAGTCTTGTGTCTCATTTCCTGACTTTGTCCCTGTTCGGGAAGAGGGGAGAAAAGTTACGAGTAAAAACATGTATATATGTTATAAAATGGCTGTCTGGGTATATGATTCGAGAATCATGTAAAAAGACACTTTTAAAAAGAAACGGGCATCTAATTCTCATGGAACTCAGTTTTTCTTTGACCCTTCAAATATTGCAGAGGCAAAAATGGAGGCTTCCCCAAAATGCTCGCACATGTTTTACAGAGCAATGAGGTTTCTATGGTTGATTTTTAAAAATCTATGAAAGGACATCTTTTCAACTCTGCTTTGATCTGGCATTCTCCTTCTGGCTGTGCATTTTTAAGGCGAGTTACTACCAACTTGGATATATTCTGTACTTTTCACTTCTGAAAATTTCATCCTGTTTGCAAGACTCCTGCCCAAGTTGTTGTCTCCGTTTTTAATTGTATCAATATAGATTAATATTACAAAGTTGATACTTTTCACTGTATATCATTTCGACTCCTCTCTGTGTAAAACTGTCACTGCTCATAACTTTTACACAACTTTGTACCTATTTAATCTAGCAGTCAGAAGTACGAATAATACGGAATGCTTACTTGATTTTCGGTGTAATATTTGAATCAGAATTTTTAACGTTTAAATGCAAGTTTGAATTTTTGAAGTGTTGAGTTTATGATGTTATAAACGAAGTAGGAATCGGAAATCACTTCGATCACATGAACTTTCCTTTAGTATACCAGGATGGAAGTATAAAAAAAGCAATGCTAAGACCAATAACGGATCTCATTAATTACAGTTGCTCATGAGGCTATAATGGATATTCTCAATCTTTTTAAAAATAATGTTACTTCCTCTTCAGCATTGTTACCACTGGGATGAAAATTAGTGTGGGAATAAAGAGAACCATAAAACCTATTCAGGAGCTTTAACATAAAACTTCCAAACTTTCACACATGATTATTAAAATAGATCAATAAAGGCTGCTCTTTTACCGGGCGGACTTTTAAACCTTGTTCTTTACTGGTAAGGACATAGAATTGGAAATGTTGGAATAGTGTAATAGTCAAATAGCCAGGGGAAAAAGAGTTTAACTTGTTGAAACCTGACCAAAATAATGAAGTGTTGTATTTAGTATTTGAATGGTCTCCATGTGACATTTTGTTTGAAACTAAATATTAGTTAAAAAAAACCTGGCTTCTAATCTTTCGCGCCTTTCTCACGTGGGTAGTCCCTCTGGCTGAGTAAAGAGAGCAAGGTTGTCCCATTATTTATGATGAATAACACTAACCTTTTTATAACTATTGATTCAAATATATTCTTCCTAGTTAACAGTCATCAACAGGACATAAGTTAAGATTAACTGTTAATCGTGCCTATTCTATTAGGTGCTCACCCTATGCCTTTTCTGCTTACAAAATTTTAACAATATTTACGTTCTTCTGTGAGGCTGTTAATTTACTGAATCGCAATTGGTGCTTATATCTATAGTGAAATGTGTGTCTGTGTGTGTTATTTGACCTCTAGAAAACTTTGACTTCTGATACGGGTCAAAGGTGCTGACCGAACACTTCCATACTAAAACTAGTTAGTCTGTAAGCAAATATTGTTTGAAACATGGCTCTGATTCAACGGGCTACTACAACAGCAGTTTTATCAAAACTAGTAGGAGGCTCAGCGGCCCACAGCAAACACATCTCTGGAATACCAGGCAAAATTTAAATGTCCTTTTATGAGTTATTACAGTCTTAATACACACACCTCAAATAATATCAGATGCAAAGACATGTCTTTTCATCCCCATTTACCATCCATGGAAACCTTTACTTACCCCACCTGTTCAAGGAAATGGGATGAAGATTTAATGTTTGCCTTCAAGATTTGAACGGATCTTGTTCTTTTTAAGTAAGTTAATATGCATGATTCAGGATAGCAGCAAGCCTAAACTGTTCAAGTAGAATCTCCCAAGGAGAGATTCTCCTCCGGGGTTTGGCCGTGAGCATATTTCATGGGTATTCAAGCTATTCTGGAAAACAAGGGGTGTATAGAACAGTCAGGGTGGATAATTAAAAATAAAAGATGGAATTAAAGCAGGGGGGCGGGCGATCAGATATGATTAATCATTAGAATGAGAGGAAAGAGAAGAAACAGCAAACATTTGTCTATTTGTCCTGCCCCAGGTTAGACACTGAAACCACGCATTGTGCTGGATGCTCTGGGTCTGGCACATGTTGTCGGTCGCAGGTCAGAGGTCAAACTCTAGGGTATTTCCAAAGTCGGCGACTTCAAGAGCTTTAGCCTTCACTTACGCAAACTGATTAACTACATTTCCAACTGTAGGCAAGAAAATTAACGCCTAACGTCTATCGCGGTTTGGAGGCATTGTCAGACCTCAAGGGGGACTTGTTTTACAGCTGAATGCGAGGGGAGTCTGTTAGCAGGAACCACCCCTCTGCAAACTTGCCAGTTTCCTTTAATTCACGAAACCCCAAACGTTTCTCATCAATCAGTTACCAAACCACTCGCCTTACGCGCGTGTGGGTAACACAGGGAATCTGCAGGCGTTTCTTTTGATTTGAGTTGATTTGGAAGAGAAATGTTACTAGAAGGTTGCACTTTGGCAGTGCAAGCAAAACAAACAGGTCAGTCAGCGAAGAACAGGGATGGGAGCCCTTCCCAAGGAAGGCTCTCAATTAGGGGTTTCTATTGTCAAAGCTCGGAAGTCTAGTAGCTTGTCCACTAGACCTTTTCCAGGAGACAGTTAACCCTTTCACTGCTCAGAAAGGAAAGAAACTGCGAAAGAAAAGCAGCACTATAGCAATGAATGCTCAACGGACAAACCCAGGAGGAGAATCTGACTTCCTCTTGCCGTACCTCCCTCCTGCAAATACTTTCCTTTTTACTGCAGCCCCAGGCAAGGCTGAGCTGCTCTGTGGGAAAGGAGCAAATCCTCCCCCCCTGCCATCCATCCAGGGCTTACAATCGGGCAGCCCCCGAGTGCATCCGCCTGGAAATGTGCAGTCCCAGCCCTTCCAAGCAGCGAGCGTTCTGCTGTTTGTGGCTGTCCGGCAGCCACTGTCCTTAGCAAGCAGCCTTCTCCCTGGGGCTGGTCTATCTATCCCTCTCCCCCAGGCTTGCCCGGCTCGGTCTCCTGCTCCTCAGCAGTGGGTGCAGAGAATCTCCTTTCCCTCCTGTCCCAGTGAGGGGGGAGAAACCCCTTCGCCATCCCCGTTGGGGAGGAGGGAAGGAGGGCAGGCGGGGGAAGCTACTTTCTCCGGTCCCGTTGGGTGCGCAGAACCCTTCCCCTCGCTGCCTCCTCGGAAGTGGGGTTTCTGTGGGGTTGGAGAGTCACCTTCTTTCTGTCCGAGCTGAGGCAGAGAAGCCCCTTCCTCCTCTCCCATAGGTGCGAAAAATCCCCTTTCCCTGGTGCCTCTGGATCCCAGCTTACGGGGAGAAGAAGCCCCTTTGTACTGTGCAGAGAAGTCCCCTATCCAGCCCTGTGAGGGGGAAGAAGCCTCTTGCCCTTAGCCCAGTGGTAAGTGGGTATCAAGCCCCCTTCCCAGTCCCAGTAGGTACCAGGCTATTTCCCCTTGCCGAGGTATGCCAAGCCTTTTCCCACGTGGGTGAGTAGATGCCAAGCCACTTCCTCAGTGGGTGAATGGGCGCCAGTCCCTTTTCTGAGTGGGTGCCAAACCACTTCCCATGCAAGCTAGAGGTTGCCAAGCCCCTGTTGGTGAGTGGGTGTCTAACCCGTTCCCTTGTGGGTGAGTGGGTGCCAAGAACTTTCCTTGCCCGCCCGTGCCTCCCCCCGAATTCACTTACCCCACTCCACCTGTTGAAGAGATTCCCTCATTTCTGCACATCATTTCTGGGCTGACAAAAAGGGGTGGGGGTGGAAAAGAGAGACAACAAAACAGCACCTCTTTGGCGGTTCCAGCGAGGCGGTCATCCTTCATTTCTTCTTTTCTTGCTTTCTGGAAGCAGTTAGGGAATGTATGATGAAACAGAAATGAGCCGTCAGGAGGATATTTTAATGGCTTATATGTCACGTTGGTGCATGTGGCTTTGAACTGGAGCAGCTTTCGTTTCCTGCAGAGAGCGCGCCGCAAATCCCACTTGATAACTTCTACAACCCACAACTTTTTTTTTTAACATTCACTCTTACTCTGTATATTTAGACACGGTTCCTAAAAATATCCCCTTGTCAGCCTTCCCGTTATATTTTATACGGACTTGAGATTATTTGGTTTTCTTTGCAATTTGGAGGTAGTCTAAAGAATGGTTGATTGCTCTCCTAGTGTCACTGCCTTGTAGATTTCACATTATGGACTAAGCATACCAGAGAACCTTGTAGTGTATGCTGGTATTTTTAGCAGAAAACATACATGATAATATAACATACACCTAAAGATGTAAGAACACACACACACACATAGTTGGTTTAGACCTGTTGCTATAAGTCATCGTAAATGTAATTTCTTCACATTTATTTCACAAAATAAGGGCAAAAACGCAGCTCCAGCTAATAAAAGGAATTATTCAGACGTGCTAGATCCAAAAGTAATTACCGGATAAAAGTGCACTGAAAATCATCTTAATTGACTGAATCCATGCAAACTACATATACACCTAATGTTCAGCGATGGATTTAGCACTGCATTTCAAATTGTTGTTTTTTTTTTAAAAAACACTTGTCATTTTTTATTACTTTAAATGTGCAGCCCTGATAATGACAATGAGAAATATGCAAGCGATATCTATTTTTATCGGTTTCACCAGTACCTGCGGTGGTGATTGCTTCCTAACGCCTTTATATTTTCAGTTGAAGAGTTAGAAGTTTCTTTGTTCAGGAATAAGAGTTTGAGGAGCTCAGATTTAGCTCCGAATAAGCCAAATGAAGTACTGAACAAAGGGTAAATTGAAGGATTCCGACTCTCAGCTAGCTTTTTGTGTTTTCGTTACTAGAAATAATTAGATCTAATGAATATGTAGGCGACTGAGTAAATAAATAATCTGCCATTTTTAAATATATATATGTTCTCCGTAAAATGAAATCTGATATTTTATGCCCGAGCATCGTTTAAAATAATGTACAAATGTTGCTTAGCTTAATTGATTGAGTCACAAAGATTTTCTGCTTTTAAGTACCATACTTATACCTTTCAACAATCATTTTAATATATAGTCAATGACTCTTTGTAGCAAGAACAAAAAGGAACTATTCGCAGTTTTTCAATAGACTTTGAGCTGGGGAAAGACAGGTTAATCGAGGGTTGCATCTAGAAAACAACCAAGTGTTGTATGTTTGCACTGAATCCAAATGTCTGCATTTTTCTAACTAAATCAAAGGGAGTGTTATTTCTTTTTCTGCTCACTCATCTGAAGGTAAGTAAATTTTCTCTGGCGATCAAAAGCCTGGTCAGCAACAAAGACACCGCCTGCTTTTTCCACCGTCCTGGTGTGGCAAGTTGAGGAATTTCAATAACTGTGACAAGGGTGACTGATTTGTGAACTAGAAAAGGTTTGAATGTCAGAAAATTTACATTGCTCCTATCTATCGAGGATTTTAAATAAATTAAAAAAAAAAAAGTCTCCGGGAGCTTCATGCAGCACAGAAGAAACAATGTAGCTTTGGGAAATTTACAGTTTTACCTGAATGAAAGAGATCCCGCGGGAAAAAAAGGAAAGAATAACAAATGGGGGGGGGGGGGAACAACAATAAAAAGTAGAAAGTTAAGAGTTCTCACCCACCTGCGTTCTGATGGGTGCAGAAAACAAGAGTTATTTCAGAAAACTGATGGGCTGTTACCCAGAGAAATCACGCCTGTTGTTTAAAAATAAAATCGAATGCAATCAGCACAAACTCTGGAGGGCTTCAATTACAAACAAGGAGAAAGCACAACTTCAAAAGAAACAAGTCACAAAAGGTCTTCCCTTTTCAAACCCTAAAAAGTTGTGCAGTGTTGTTAAAAAAATCAGGAAATCATTGTGATCATCATTAGTATTATTATGGAGAAGAGAGGGGGGGAAAACAATAACAAGAAGAATAATCAAGGCTAAGATTATTTTAGCAGCCATACAAAAAGATACGTTTGGAATATTTGCGTGCAAAAAATATTGGGCTTGATAAAAAACAAAACAAAACAAAAAACAAAAAGTTGCTACTCCTGGAAACCCTGTTTGTCAAAAGGGATGTCAAAGCTCTTCACAATACCTGGGATTGATGAGCCGGGCGAACCAATCAGGGGAGAGCAGAGGCTTTGCGCGCCCTTAGTTGGAGAAGAAGGGGGGAGTTGCAAGGGAAGGGGGGAGTCGCTAGGCACCAATGATCTCCCACGTCCGCCTTGACGTCGCTCCTCCTCTTCTCCCATTCATCAAGGGGGGGGACGGTGTCGTCTTTTCAATTCATTTATCTGCAGGAATGATTGCCGCTATCAGTCTCGCGTTCACCGCCCGGCTGAGGAGGTGAAAGTTTCTCCCCAGGAAGATAAACCGCAAAAGACAATATTGTGCATGATTTGCGCCTTTTTTTTTGCATAGCGAAAAAAAAGGGCGAAAAAAAAAAGAGGAGAGAGAGAGAGAAAAAGGGAGAAGAAAGAGTGTGGGGAGCTCGAAGAGAAGAGAAAAATCTCTCGGCCACTTTGCAACATTCCTATAGCTAAAAAATAACTGAAGGGAGTTGATTTTTTTTGTTTTGTTTTGTTTTTTATTTTTTGCCGTGTGTGTTGGTCTCTCTCCATTTCTGTTACTTGCAGCCAGTTTATTTTTTACCCCCGGGCCTCCCTCCCCACTTCAAACCTCCCCGAAAAGTCTCATCAGAGAGACAGTGCGTTTTTTTGTGCATGTCTGTCTTATTCTAGCTTTCTTGCTTATTTGCAACTGCGAGATCTCCCCACTTTTTGTTTCCTTTCGGGGCGCTGATGCCGACGGGGGTGTTTTTGATGTGGTTGCTTTGGTGGTGATTGTCGCTGACTTTCCAGAGAGGGTGGTTTTGCTGCTGCTGCTGCTCCTCCGTGTTTTTTTTCCCCGGGTTGCTGCATTGAGAGTGGGAAGATGCTTCTGGATGCTGGACCGCAGTATCCCGCTATAGGAGTCACTACCTTCGGATCGTCTCGCCACCACTCCACGGGCGATGTAACGGACAGAGAAGTGGGGCTGGGGATCAACCCCTTCGCCGACGGAATGGGCGCCTTTAAAATTAACCCCAGCACACACGAGCTGGCCTCGGCCGGCCAGACCGCCTTCACCTCGCAGGCACCCGGCTACGCGGCGGCGGCGCTGGGGCACCACCACCACCCGACCCATGTCAGCTCCTACTCCAGCGCAGCCTTCAACTCCACCCGGGACTTTCTCTTCCGCAACCGGGGCTTTGGCGAGGCGGCGGCGGCCAGCGCCCAGCACAGCCTCTTCGCTTCGGCCGCGGGCAGTTTCGCCGGACCCCACGGACACACTGACGCTGCAGGACACATACTTTTCCCGGGGCTTCACGAGCAAGCCGCGAGCCATGCTTCTCCCAACGTGGTGAACGGGCAGATGCGCCTGGGCTTCTCCGGAGACATGTACGGGAGGCCAGATCAGTACGGCCAGGTCACTAGCCCCCGATCTGAGCACTATGCATCCACTCAGCTCCACGGCTACGGCCATATGAACATGAACATGGCAGCCCACCATGGGGCAGGGGCCTTCTTTCGCTACATGAGGCAGCCCATCAAGCAGGAACTCATCTGTAAGTGGATTGAGCCCGAGCAATTGTCAAACCCCAAAAAGTCCTGCAACAAAACTTTCAGCACAATGCACGAGCTGGTGACTCATGTCACAGTGGAGCACGTTGGAGGACCCGAGCAGTCCAATCACATATGTTTCTGGGAAGAGTGTCCAAGAGAGGGGAAACCTTTCAAGGCCAAATATAAACTTGTAAATCACATCAGAGTCCACACAGGTGAAAAACCCTTCCCCTGCCCTTTCCCAGGCTGTGGGAAAGTGTTTGCCAGATCAGAAAATCTCAAAATACACAAAAGAACTCACACAGGTACAGTACAGTAACCTTTTCTCTAGATTTCTTTCTGCAGATAAAAGAGTCAAGCTTTTCCAGTAAAATAAATGGTGATGTGGATGGGGGAGGGAAGGGGAAAACATTA